GGTGGAGAGTAGCAGGAACAGGTCATTGTTCACCAAATCTGTTTTCCTTCTTCTAGGGTTTACAACTAGATTGCATTCTCCAGTTTCCCCTGCAGTTACAGGCTGTTTGTTTGAATTTCAGCCATTGGGGTAGGAACAGAAGTGATATGTTCTACTTCTGACTGTGGTCCACGAAAACCTTCCTGTGCATAGTTCCATGTTCCTTCCTCCTTCTACTTGACCAAGAAGGACATGACAATAGTGACATTGGGAGCCCTGTATCGAAGATGGCAGATCCTGTGCTACCCTGGGTCCTTAAATGACCACATGGAAGAGAGGTGTCCAGCCAATCCATACATCTGCCCAGGACAGTCACCTGAGCCAAGACCAAATTTTGATTGTCTTTGAGTCTTTAACCAGTAGAGCATAAGCAATACATGCAATGGACACAAAGCACAAAAAAACCATATTTTCTATTTGGATTTCAGCAGGTCTTTTCACAGATACAGAATAGCCTAGACAGACATTTACTCAGCCAACAGCAATTCAGGGAACATCTGGCTAGAACTGAATTATTCCTGGCTTTCAACATTGGAGTAGGTCTCAGGTGGAACATGGGGTTAGTTCATTTTCCAACGGGTTACTCCCAGAACACTTGGGCAATGTAACTAGTGAGTCTCAGGAAGCTTCTGGGGCAGGACGTGTCTAGTGGAAGGACATCATCAGTTCAAAGTCACTGGACTGTAACTGGAAATTGAGGAGCCCCTGGCGCCTGTCAGTCACTGAGTTTAAACTAGGAAGTGTCTGGAGTCAGGCAAATTGGCAAAATCAAGGACCACGGGATTTACATGCAAATCAGAAAAGCCAGGGGCCACCTTTACACCTTATTAATGATGGAGTCTGGGGCAACTTATTATCTCTGGGCTGATTTATTTCTTCTTCTATACAACTTGTCTAATAAAGCTCAAAGGATTGTTGTGAGAACTAAATGTACTACCTTTAGCAGTGGGCTCTCAACACTTCCACCTTGTGTTGGACCCTCCTCTAGAACCTTGGCGTGGGCTTGAGGTATACAATGAACATCTCTTCCAGACGTGGCAAGGACATCCAAATTCCATGGCCCTTTCTCCTGCTTTGCCCCTGTGTGCCTTGTTCACTCTGCCAATGCTGAATCTCTTGGATGCCCCTTTCATGCCTGCGTGACCATCCACAGCATCACCTCAGCTCGAACTGTCTGGTCCTTAGGAAGGACAGGGATGGGCGTGGGTCTCTGGGCATTCACAGGTGAGGACATGGGCTCTAAGAATTGCTGTCTGCTCTTGACATCATCTGCCATTTGCTCATCAGCTCTTTCCTGGACCTTCACAGCTGCCTCCTACCTGTTTCCTGCCGGTCTCTCCCCACTCAACTCTGTCCTCACAGCCTCCAGAATGGTGTAACTTACTAAACTGTTCTCAGTGATAGAACGTGCCTTAGACACGAGGTCAGGAAGTGTGGCTTCTAACATGGCTTCTCCGAGAGACTCGGGGGACTCATTCACCCTCTCTGGAACTCAGTTGCTTTGCCTGTAAATTGGGCACGCTGGACTGTATCGACTCTCATGTCTGTACTTGTTTGACAGGTGTGTGATTACAGCGTGTTTTACAGGGTCAGAGGACACCTGTTCATGGGGGCGTTTCTGACTCCAAAACTTCCCCCGCTCTTAGGAGAAACTGTGGAATCCCTTCTGGGTAACACGGATGCTAGCGAGGAATGAATTCAGGCAGAACGCTTTCTGGTGTAGGAGAGAACAGGAGGGACTGAACGCACGATGAGATAGACGATCCATGCGGTGGCTGTCTTGGGTGGTGGCATGAGGACTGTAGGACTTAGAATTAGTTAGAGGCACCATTCCAGAACCAGGAGCTGGAGCAGGAGAGTCTCAGGTCAGGAAGAAAGAAGCCACTGCCCAGGCTTGGAGGGAAAGCCGGGTTGGCCTACGTGAAGTTCAGACAGTGCTGCGAGAGCCAGGAAGACAGAGCAGCATCAGAACTACGTGACAAGGATCCTTTCAGTCTGAGTAAGGAGGCAGAGCAAGGGGGGCCGGAGGGGGAGGGGTAGAGATGTGTGAATGTGTATGTGAAACGTCATTTTGACTGAGAACTCGCCAACCTGTGACTGCAGAAATAAGATGACATTCTATTAATGGCTCCAAAACAACTCCAAGTCCCCAAACAGTAAAGGAAGAAATTTAAGCCCCTCAAAACACCCCTGATTTTCCGAGTGTTCACAGTGGGGCTGACAAACCAGGCTTGCTCAGCAATGATCATTCAGGTCGGCCCCTTCTTCTCTTCAGGTTGACATTGACCGTGCAAAGGCCCCCGTGTCTCGGCTCTACTGACAGTCTATACCTAGAGCCTTCTGGATTTTTTTTTTTTTTTTGCATACATCCAGGCAATAGATGTTCATTGCCATTCTGAGCAGGGTCCCCATTGCCCAAATCATGTTCAGTAGTTTAAACAGCCAGCAAAGGAGGGTGCTCGTGTTGACAGCCTCCCTTCCACCCTCTCTCTGGGGTCTCCCCTTCCTTCAGAGATGCTAGGGACAAGACAGTTTGTTTCGCTGGCTCGTCAGTCCCCAGGTGAGCTCCCACAGTGACACCTATAGGAGGCAAACCTGCCAGTCTGAGTGATTGACAGTGACCGTGGGCACCTCTCAGAAGCTCGCAAACACTCATCCTCGGGTTTCTGTATTATAAAAAGACAAAGTCCCTCCTTTTTGTTCCTCTCTTAATCCCACTCTGTTTCCACGCAGCACCTCCGTCCTGCCAGCCAGTGGACGCTCCCACAGTGCGGGAGACTTTGGGGCAAGTGGTGTGGCCTCGTACTTGCATAGGTCCGGCCCTGTGCCATCTTTATTGATGATAACCCTGCTGTTAGGTGGATGTCTTCCATTTTTGTGTAAACCACAGTATGTGTCTAAGATACAGATTTTGCGAAGATATTATCATAGGCGCCAATTGGTGTTAAATGGCCTTTTTCCCACGTGTTTTATCATCACGCATTTAGTTCTAATTGACATCGACTGGCATTATATTGACCTGTTTTTCCCCTTGATCTTTGTACTTTTGGTCGTGTTCACTGTAAACATGTTTTTTCTTATATATTTATAAGCAAATTTACTCGTTATTTGACTTCCTGTCCCTTCGCTTATTTCCTATATTTCCTTAATTTTAAAATCTTAGAGCTAAAATTTACCTTTTTATGGCGTATTTTCCTTTTTCACCTTTCTCCTCCCACTTTTCAACTAGTTTTGATATTTCTTCACCAAGAGACTTTTTTTCCCTGTTTGATAATGTTCTGTGCCCCGGTGTCCATTTCGCGTTTTCTGACACCTGTAGGATGTTCTCCCTCAGTGAGGCAGTGACGCCTGCTTCAGGGACAGGAGCTGGTTCTGATCTGCCATCGGAGGGGCACAGCACATGGTGATAAAAATAATGTAGCATGAACATTGTTGGACAAATGGCCACCCGCAACACAACAGAACTGGCAAGAGCGCCCATGTGCTGGCTGGTTGATAATAGAGTGTGGATTTCGGGGGCATGCTATGCCAACCGCCGCTGGTGACGCGGGAAAGACTGCAGTTTACGGCTGGGAAGACCAGAGAAACAACTCTTAACTGATTTTCCCAGCATCACCAAAAATCCTGATTTTCTCTCATCTGTTTGAACCCTTTTCTATAAAATAAACCACATTTCGCAGAGATCTTTGGAGTATCAATAAAGTCCTGTGATACCCCTTCTGACCGCCTCCTGCGACATTCAGATCCATCTTATAGAAAATAACAGCATCCTGCATTTTCAAACTGATGGTTATAAAAACCTAAGTGTAGGCCTCACACAACGTGTGTTAGTCAATTTAGGGTCTTTTCAGTAAACAGCTTCAGAAACCAGGTGCGTTCAGGCAGTTCTGTTTTATCTTCTCTTTTACATCACTGTGGATTTATGGCTCTGGCACCCTAAGGCAACCTTGTTTCCGTTCAGCATCTAGAACTCACAAGCTAATCCTGAGCCTTTTCCCGGCCTGGAAATATGGACTCAACTATCCTCCTTTTTCTTCCTCTCACTGGGAAACAGTTTTAGAAGCTACGGGTGCTCATTCTGCAAATAAGCTTGTTCCACATTGTGACTGGAATTTGGCAGGATGTCAGCAAAAGTCTCCAAAAGAGTAAATTAGGATAGGGACAGAACAAATAAACCCTCCTTTATTTTTTTTATTTTTATTTTTTTATCCTCACCCGAGGACATTTTTCCATTTTTGTTAAGATAGAGCGGGAGGGAGAGAAGGAGGGAGGGAGGAAGGGAGAAAGAGAGAGAGAGAGAGAGAGAGAGAGAGAGAGAGAGAGAGAAACATTGACATGACAGAGACACATTGAGTGGCTGCCACCCACACAACCCAACCAGGGCCATGGACAAACTGCAACCGAGGTACATGCCCCTAGCGGGAACTGAACCCGGGTCTCTCTGGACCGCAGGCCAACACTCTAACTGCTGGGCCAAACTGGCCAGGGCTAAACCTTCCTTTAAAAAGTGGCCATGGAGCTCGGCCAGTGTGACTCAGTGGTTGAGCATTGACCCATGTGCCAAGAGGTCACCAGTTCAATTCCCCATCAGGGCACATGTCCAGGTTGTGGACCAGATCCCCAGTGGAGGGCATGCAGGAGGCGGCCAATCAATATTCTCTCTCATCAATGTTTCTATCTCTCTCTCTCTCCCTCTCCCTTTCTCTCTCTCTAAAATCAATAAAGGGAAAAAATTTTTTAAATATATCCATGGATTCTTATTGATATTTTCAGTTCACCTCTATTTTAACAACTTCTTCTTGACGTATTCTAAAAGGAAAGTATATTAATCCTTTGAGTTTTTAAACAACTACATTTTCTTGCTTCAATTCATGTTAATTTTAAAAAGCTTTATATTATCATACCAAACCAGGCCTCTAAGTCTAGTGTTGCCTCCCCAATATCCAGAAGGCGCCGTCTCTTTTTTTTCCCTTGACCTTTAGATCAGCCATCCTGAAACTGGCTTCGCAGTGTGCAAGTCCCATTGATTCTTTGGTCGGCATCGCCTTAGCACCAATATCTGAAAAGAAAGAAGCCTCGGCCTTCTTCTAGGGGAACTCCAAAGAAACCAAGAGCTCAGTATACTCAGCGTCATAGATAGTGTGTTTGCTTAATAAAAGATAATAGTGAAATGTAGATTATAGACAAATACTATTGACAGTTTCCAAAATCTGTCAATTTTCTCTATTTGAACTCCCCAGTTTGAATTTATTTTATTTTCCCTTCATATTATTTCTCTCACTCGTGCCTTTGTATGTTTATGGAATAGAACTTTTAGTAGAAAACTGTCATTTTGAAGAGGCCCTTGAGTATATACAGTGGCCTGTACCAAATCAGAACAGTCAACTCTGTACATCTCTTCCCAACTCTGCATTCAGTGACATCTTGTTCATAGCTTGTAGTCAGCCACAGTGGACGTATTTACACCATGGAAATTGGCAAACACTATAAATTATGACTTTTGACCCAGAGAGCCAGTTGTTAAGCAAACATTTATAGAACAACTCTGGGCACACACCTCAGTCTTCCCCAAACCAGTAAAAATGTCAGAACAGAAAATCAATCAACATCCAGAATTATCAGAGTAATATGCCAAACATTATGGTTGAGAACTCCCACTCAAGAAGTTTACATAGAATAGCTTTTGGAGCTTTATATCATTTCTGCAATATTCACTGCATAACACTCCCCAGAGCCAACTCATAAAAGACAAAAAATACAATTAGATTATTATACCTTTTAGTTATAATATCCAAGGCACATTACATTTAGTTACCTATCCGTTTCCAGAGGGTTTTATTTCCACAACAGACAAACATAGAGAATTCAGTAATTTCTAGTTATTAACATTTCTGTGTTGACATACAATTTTTTACACGAATTAACACCTACTAGACTCTCTCCTCTTCAATGTTGTTCTCTGTAGTAACGGTGTAACTTCTGGGTGATACGGAGGATAGAGCCTCGTAAGCCTGAGTATGGGGTCTGGCTTTGCCAAAACCTGAAATGAACTGATGTAATATTAAGTTTCCTTATTGAATCTGAGTAGGACTGGCCCACGAATTCCTTCTTTCTAGCAGTCTGTCATGGCACCCCTGGCGTATTCCCAGGAATGTAATGGCCTCAGATAATTCATCATTGAAAATTGTTCGTTGTAGAGGTTCTTGTTTTATTGTTCATTTAGCACCTGAATTTAGGCAGGAAAACAATTTCTACCTGAAGGCCCTGTGAAGTTGAATTCCCCTGCCTTTGTATTGCCACTTCCACAGAGGGTGATGGCCTCCCCAGATGAGGAGGCCAGGTTGCTCAGGCCTTGTCCTTCAGCTGCCTTGGGACAGTACTTGGCCTGTTCCCCCTTTCTGGAGGGTTGGTATTCTGAGCTATATCTCATCTGAGTCTACTACACTTCCTCCCTCCTCTTTGCCATTTCTTCTCACCCCAGCCCCACGCCTTGAACAGGATTTCCTCTGGCGTTGCCCCATGTTCTCATTTGCCCCTTAACCTCGGCTGGGTCTGGTTGTGCTCACTCAAGGACACAGTCATGCCTTGGTGGGGCGACAGGCAGCTTCCAGTGCTCCCAGCACAAGACTGCTCTGGGCGCCCCCTTTCTCCTTTACTCTGAGTTTTGCTCTACCTGACATCCCTCCACATTCTACAACATTCCATTATCTTCTACTGTGTTTTTTCTACCTATTACTAAAGGAAAGTTGGGAGAGGAGAGTATTCTAGTACCCCTTTTCCCCCTGTCAGAAACCTGCAGGAGATGTGTTTGTTTTCTAAGACTTGTAACCTTGGAGAGACCCCCAGGCTTATCATTAGCCACTCACTTATCTCTCCAAAAACATGTGTGTCTGGCTAATATTGCTGACCATTTCTATATAGCTCTCAATTTCTCTTATTTCTTCAAACCAGGAATTATTTCAAATCTTCTTTTTGATTTCCAAGAGGATAGATATTTCGTGGATAGTCTTGTATTTTGTTGTCATTTTAAAAATTCTATTGCATTATAGAGAAAGTGTGAGATCTTATGGTTTTTACTTATGTGGCAACTATAGTATTATAGGTTGTTTAAATTTGTGCACAGGGCATCATATTGCACTCATCAACTACTATTTGCTTTTTATTCTTTTTGTTTTCCAAATGTATCTTCCTGGTACGGATATATCTGATTCACTTGTTTTAACTGCTGTTTAAGGTTTTATTTATGAATATGCTATTGTTGATTCATTCATTCTCTTATTAGTGGACATTTGATTAATTTTTATGTCTCTCTTTTTTTTCTAATGGCAAACCATGCTTGAATAGATTTATATGTATCTCCTTTTCTATGAATGCAAGTGTTCTCTAGGATGGGTGCCTAACAAAATCATAATTGCTTGATCATAGGTTATATAATATCCTGCTTCCCTAATATCCTCAGATTTAACCCCAAAGGTATTGTAGTAGTTTAGACATTTTCATCAGTAGTTTGTGAGAATTTTCCTGACACCCTTTCCAACACTTGATCATTTTTAGTTTTTGCCATTATGATGTTTGTACAATTTTTTGCACATCCCCGAAGAAATATATATCTTCATATTGAAGAAACTTGAGTCCTAAGCAAAATAAATAAAAATAAGTCCGTACTTAGTAACATCATAGTGAAATTTTAGAATACCAAAGCCAAAGAAAAAGATTTTTAAACAACCAAAGGGAAAATACAATTTACTTACAATGGAAGGCACGTGGAATGACAGCAGATTTCTCATTGGCAACTATAGAGGTCAAAAGATAATAGGGTGATCTCTTCAAAATGCTGTTAAGGAGAGGGAAAAAACTGTCAAACTAGAATTCTATATTATTCTCCCAGTGGTTTTATCTGAATGGCCTCCCCCCACCTTCTTCAGGAATAGATACTGTCCCTTGACCAAACGGGTGGGTAGGTGTCTGAAGCTGGGAAAATCCTAGCACCTCATGCCCTTTGGTCACATGATTGGCAAGAATAGGCACATAAAGAAAGAAAGAGCCCTGGATACTCCCAGCCCTTCCATCTCCATGCTTTGAATATGCATTTTCTTTGTTTTTGCCCCTTGCCCTGAGAGTCCAGAGAAGAAGCTCTACAAGGAAGAAAGAAAAACTTTGGTGCTCAATGCTCCCAGCTCTTCCTTTGGACTCCAGCTATTCTATTATTAGGACCCCACTAGTTATCCAAAGGGAAAATTACACCAGAAAAATAACAGAAGTTATCACATGAGAAACTGGGTTCCTTTTGGAGATTTGGAGACTGAGGACTTTTGGAGATTTGGGACAATGCAAGTAACATCAAATTAAAACTGTAGGTGAAAGCAAGTAAGGAGGTAGACTCAGCAATGATACAACCATCCTAATGCAGGTGAATACATCTGCAAGGCATAAGGGCACCTTGGCACCAGGCCATTTGGGGAAGTGAAGAAAACCGGATTGGAGAGACCTGGAGTCAGAATGCACCTGGCTGTGGGTCAGCAGCCCTATCAGGGACCATTCTTAGTCACCTGACAGTGGGGACCTGTATGAGGTTTGGGCAGAATCCGTTAGCACCTGGAACACGATCTGGAGAAAGCAGTGAAGATGGTATGAAGCCCAGAGCAATAAAAGATTGATAGTAGCTCTGGCAGAAATCTGAAAACCAAGAACTTTTGTGAATTGAAGTTGAAAGACAGATGAGTGAGCAAGAGATGGAAGACACGAGCTGAAAGGGGGGTGGCAACTGGAGGGCACATAAAACCTGGAGTAAAGAGAAGGCCACGGTCTCCTTCTGCCCCTAACGGTCCCCGCTCTCCCAGCACTACCTACTGAGATCAGTGAGAAAATCAGAAAAGATCCAAGTCTCAGAAGCTGTAGCTTAGAAAAATAATGGAGTTGACATTCTGAATAAATATGTTATGCAGCTGAAACCACTTGATCTTGATCTTTGCCTCAGAGGAGAAAACTCTTAGGGAAAGAAATGGACAGGATTACTTTACAAATAGTTGGTAGACTACCATAGTAAGAAGATGAAAATTCAGAGAAGTCAGATGGTAGCAAAATCCACATTACCAAGAGCTGAAGAAGACAGACATCCTTTACATTCCAAGCCGAATAATGAGGTGTTAGCAAGACGTCAGCTGGGGGGGAAAAGGTGGAAAATGATTCTTTTTTGTTACTGTTCGCGGGCAAAGCTCTGGTTGAAAGTAAATGCAAAACTTGCAGCTGGCAGTCGAGATCCTTAACGATCTCCAGCAGTAGAAAACGAAGACCGTTCAAGGACATGACTCAGAAAGCTTACAAGACAGAAGAGAAAGAACAGAAGCTGTCTGCTCCAGAAGGGGGTGTTCACAGAGAATGTAAGAAGTGGAGAGTGAATTATAGAGAAAACAGATTATGTAAAACTGTTGGATCACCATGCTGAAAAACAAGAAGCAGCCCAGGACATCAGGCGTTTTTCTTTTGGATACATCAAGATTTCTTCCTATAAAGAAGAAGGATGCCACCTTCCTGAAACAGAAGTTGCAGGCAGTAAGCACAAAGATGGCTGTACTTCAGAGATCTCAGAAATAAATCCAAATCCAGGAACATTTACTAAATAACTCCCATCAAAAAGAGGTTCTGGAAGCCAGATTGGCTCCCATGGGATACTCCTGGTGAGTTCAGGGCACTGTGCTCCCAATGGTACCGCTCACCTTTCTTAGCTATGGAAGAGGCATGCCTCCAAGTGAATTAGTTGTGAGTGGACTTGCACACGGGTACAGGAACACGTGAGGTGTCAGGAAAAACCTTACCCTCTGATCTGCATGCAAATATGATGTAATTGATGAAAAGTTGCCAGAATGTCTATTGGATCCCACACCCTCTGATGACAGACTACCCAACCCTTCTCGATGGTGGACACAAGAGGGATATCTCCATTTCATTGTTAATCAAATAGATTTGCCCGGAGGTTAACAGTGGGCTGTTCATGGACCACCACCTGGGCCAAGGGACTTTTTCAATATCTGATAAAAATATCTGCCTCTAATGGTGGCCTTTGTGTGGCTCCATTAATAAAGAATGGCCCCCTAGTGCTTGCAGTTTCTGCAGCAAGGGCTGGTTTGGCTGATGCTCAGGCAAAGGACTGCGGTCTTCATCGGAGTCCCTGTCGTTAACCCACCACAGCAAGGGCTCCCGCCGCCATCAGCCACCTTTTCAAACATGGACCCGGGCACCCTTGCCCACCCTTCCTTCCTGGTGAGCTTACCTTCCCGCCCAAAGGAACTTTCAGAAACTTGGACCCTCTCACCAGAAGAGAGTATCTTCTGTCTGGACCCTAATTAGTTGAGATTATCTATCTTTCTCTCTACAACATACTTCCAGCCTTTGAGACCTAGAGAGAAGGCCACCAGCCTCAACCCTGGGTCCCACAGGCTTCCAGCCTCAGCTTATAAAGAAACTGTTGGGACAATTTCTGTGCTTCAAAATCCAAGGTCAATGTTACTTTGGTAATTAGATTAAACCCTTTTTTAGAACTTAGTTTTCTTGTTAAGAAACGTTTTTTGAGTTAAGTGATTCACATCTGCTAGATATTTGATTTGCTATGAAGACTGCCACTTAGGGAAGGTGACATGACCAGATCTAAGAAGCTGCTCTTCTGAGCACGATATTATTGCTTGGTGCCCCAAAGAATTCTAGTATTTTCTTCACATCGTAAGTGGTGCCTTAACTGGGTCAAGGCTTTGGCGACAAAAGAAGCCCTTCCTTATGGTTAATCAAGTGACCTCCCAGGTGTAGGGTCTTGGGATTTGGTTTGATTCTGGACCATGTACGACTCAAGGAGGTCACTGTGAGAGGGGAGGGGGGCAGTACTGCATGGCACCCAGCCCTCTAGAGGACGTTCTAGACGACATTCTAGAGGAGGCACTAGGGAAGGGTTGGGTGAAAAGAATAAATAAAAAATAAATTTTAAAAAAAAGACTGCCACTTACACTGTAGTCTCCCATTTTCTCCACTCTCCTAAAACCTCTTTTATGCATTATTAGTTTATATAGTGAACATAGCATGTGCAACAGAAATGGATTTTTAGTACTATGTTGAGTATAATACTTTTACATAAATGTGTTTAAAAGTAAAATTATAAATATAATTATCAGGAATGTTGCTTAATCTATGATCTTTTACTCAGCCATACTTTGGATAAACCTAGCCAGTTAATCAAAAGTCAAAACACTCAACCTTGTGGTAGGTGAATTGTTTCCTAAGAGGAAATAAGTAGTCACTGAAGTACCAGTCAACAAAGCCCAAACCTGTGAAGTAATGCCAAACAGTATACTCTCCAATCCAATAACTCATTCAGCAAACCACTAACATAAGTATTTTATCAATATTTGCTTTCAGTCATGAAAGTGGAGATTGTCAGGTTATTTTACCCCAGTGGGACCAGTTATCTATATAAATTAGAAATCAACATAGACCCCAGAAACTGCCTTGGACGATGTGGAGGTATGGCCAGGAGCCTGTTGGCTCCGCCTCCCTCTCATCTCATGAGGTGGCATCTCCAAGTATGCCAGGGCTCCACCAGCTCCGATTGGAAACTTCTAGGTTGCAGCATTATGGTAGCAAGGTCAAGGTCATGATTTTACGTGGGCCGTGACCAACCTCTCCCATTTACAAATGCAAAACACTCTGTGGTATAGGATGGATGCATAGTTTATGTTCAATCATAAAGAAGCTATTTTTATCACTATCCTTAACCAACATTCCTACAAGTATGTACCTGCCGTACAAATAAGAGTGAGTATAAAAAATCTCTCTAAATCACAACTGTACACATTACTGTCAGGTCAACAGAATCATCTTTGTCCATTAAGGACACTTCATTTTATTTAAGCAGAAGTACTAAGTATCTGTTAGTGGTGTTATTAATGGGACTGAGACACGTGCTATGGAGCCAGACAAGAAACCCTTGTAGAACCCTTCCGGTGTGAGCTCCCCAGTTTCTCTGATGCTAGAACAGCCCAGATGACACTCAGCAGATGACTCACAGCACAGCCCCTCTCCCCGTGAACTGTCAGCATGTTGCAGCTTCCCATAGTGAAAGCTTCCTCGTGATTCTGTATTTCTGGAGAAGATTAGACTCTGCCTTTCTTTCTTCAACTCTTTGATCTTCCATCTGAGACCATATGGGGAATTTACATCTAAATATAAAGTTGTAGGCAAGGAGATAGTGGCAAAATACTGTCTTAAATTATAAATTAATTAATTAGCTAATTAATTAAATTCATCTGGAGAAGGTTTTTTGGTGGTTTTTTTGTTGTTGTTTTTTATCCTCATCCAAGGACATTTTTTCATTTTTTGTTCAGACAGAGTGAGAGGGAGAGAGAGGAAGAGAGAGAGAGAGAGAAACATCGACGGGAAAGGTACACATTGAGTGGCTGCCACCCACACGACCCAACCAGGGCCGGGGACAAACTGCAACCGAGATACGCGCCCTTAGCAGGAACTGAACCCGGGTCTCTCTGGACCACAGGCCGATGCTCTAACCGCTGAGCCAAACCATCCAGGGCCATCTGGGGAAGGTTTTTAAAGAAGATTTCAAAGACCTGAGAGGAAGTGATTTCTTTATAATCATCTCCACCATTCTCATCTCTGACCCCAACACCAGCACCCCCATTGTAAACAAACCACTTCACCTCCTACTTCAAGAGAGCATCAAAGCCACAGATGGGAATTGACTCCAGCTCCTGCCACTGACCCTGCAAACCCACCAGAGCCTACTCTCCTTTTCTTCTTCCGTTTTTCCCAATGAAAAGAGACCCCCCGCCATAATCCAGGCCTAATCTCCTCATCTGTGTCCTGTGTCCTGGACTCCCCTTCCACATCCTCAGACCTCAACTCCATCAATTAATCTTTCCTCACTCTTCATATACCCTCTCTGGGGCCTTCTGCCAGCAGCGTCACATGTCAGGTGTCTCCTGAGTCCATGGGCACTCCGGCTCCTGTCCTATCCTCTGCTTCCCTTGCTGGCCAAGCTTAGTGAAGGGGTTGCAGCTACCTTGACAAATTCCTGTTCCTCACCTTCCATTTGCTCCTTGCAGAGGATGGCCTACAAAGTCACCAAACGTCCCTTATTACTAAACACAAGGGACACCTTGGACTCCTGTAAAGTCTGAAAATTTTTGAAAAATGATCCCTGTAAGGAAACAACAACAAACAAACACCCATTCAGTCAAACAGTATTTATTGAGGTCTTGCTAGTGCTGGGAACTGAGGAGGTAGCAGCGAAATGCTGTGGGCCAGCCTGCAGCTTACGCTAGGAAGGGGAGGGAGCCAAGCAATAAGCAAGTGAAAAAATGAACAAGATCATTCCAGAGGGTGGTAAGTGCTGTGAAGACAAACTAGAGTGATGGGCTAGAGAGTAACCATGGAAACCACTCTGCGATGATGTGTGAGTGGAAGGCACCAGGACAAGGATCTTAGTCCAGAGCAGCACAGGTAGAAAGAACAGCAGAGCCCCAAGATGGGCGCAAGTCCTGAGAAGATATGACAACATCCTGTGTACAAGTGCGAAAGGAGGAAACAGAAAGAAGGCAAGGAAGCACGGTCGGCTGGGCAGGCAAAGGGCTTCCGAGTCCCAAGCAGAGTGAACCACGCCTGGAAGGACCATGAGCCTTTTACCCTTAAAGTCTTGGGCCTGACTTCACCTCCTCTCCAGACCTAAGTAGGAAAGTGTTGGGGGAGGTGGGAGGTGGGGGGTTGGGGAGAAGTATCTATTGCTTGCATCTTTTACCCTTCAATCCTGACAAACAAATCAGCCACAAAATAAATCAGCCAAGCTTGAGCTTAAAATAATGTGGGATCGCTCCTGGAATGGACCCACTGGGGCCTAAAGAGACAGATCTACCCCAGCCCCTCTCCTTCCATCCCCTATCTCTGGTCTACATAAGAAAAGTAGCCCAACAGGGGCCCAGAAGGGAGTGTATTAAAGCTCAGTTTTTTTTCCAGTGATCAACTTAAGTGGTCATGGTCCTCAGTGGGGATGGATCCAACATGGGACTTGGAGGGACTCTCCAGTATTTGTGCCTGGGAGAAAAAATGAGACCCCAAAGATGTTCTCTCAAAGCCAAGTTCCCTAACCTAACACATGCATGCACAGACACACACACACACACACACACACACACACACACACACACACCAGTCTACAAGATGACCTGAGAGTCCTCCATTTAACCTGTGGGCAAACTCTCTCCCTGCTGCATGTGTATGTGTGTAGGGGTGCGGTGGAACCAGGGTAAAGGGGGGGGCAGGGTTAGTTCCTAAGGCAGGGATAGAGAGCCCATCCTGAGACCAGAGTCCTTCCCCAGAGTCTAGGGCTACAGATGGGGTAGAACAGAGAGCAGAGATGGGAAGTGAACCCCAATCTTGCTCCGTTATGATTGGGATCAGTACCCCACACACCCTTGAATGGCCTCCTCACTCCCCCTCCCACCCTTTAATTCTCCTCTCCCTAAGGCCAAGCTCCTCTTTTTTTTTCTGATCCCACTACAGTATCAGAGAGAAATGTGCAGGGGCCAGGTAGGGAGAGTATGGAGAGACCAGGCCTCGATCCTCCCCAGGACCTGGGCACCGTGGCCTGGAAACAGCAACTCTCTGAGCACACCTTCTGGTCCTCCGGAAGTGCCCAGGGGCCATCTGCCCGCCAAGGAAGCGAGGAGGTGGGAAAGCAATCATGCCTGCTGCGTGGACAGCCCATCTGAGCAGCTCTGTTTCCAGGACTGAGTCTAACAACCTGCCCAAAGCTACACACTTTGCAAAGCAATGGATTCTGGGGTTGAAACCATCCAGATGGCTTGCACAAGCTCAGAGGCAGTGCCTTAGAGTCCTTGCTGTCACTCAGGCTGGGGTCAGGAAGAGACATTGACAAATCCCTGTGGGAGGTTGGAGGCAGGGGCCTGGTGGGGGGAGGGGTTGCTGTGTTCTCAGCCTTTTCTCTTAGCCTCTGACACAGTACACTAACTACACCTGACATGTGGACTTAGACAACTCTGACCGTCCCTGGGAATATCTTTGCATCTCTGGATTATTTGACAGCCTGTTATCTTACTCAGAAAAGAATGTGGATTTTCCCTAGACCCAACTGTGCCTCTGACTGCGGGCTAGTACAGGGAATTCATTGCAAAGAGGAAGGTCAAGGATCTTCCCAGGATCAAGGATCAGCAACAGGGTGCCAGGGACAGAAAGGCATAGAGGTTGGAGGACACTGGCACTTGAACCATCTGATCCAAAAACCCTGGGGGCTTATGCACATGCTGGGGGAGAAAGGACTTCAGGTAAGACCGAAAGAGCCATGCACTGAGTTCCGGAGCCTGCTGGGCACTGCTGGGACCCACCGACTACCGCATAACACAGATGTCCCTCTCACCTCCAGGCAGGCTGCCCGGCAGCCCCCCTGCCATGGAGACCTTGGGCATCAGCAGGTGTCTGCCTCTGCATCATATTCGAAACTGGATAGCTTGCCCGAGGGCACGCGGGTCAGGGAGCAGCGAGTCCAGGAGCTGAGGCCATCCATGCGCTTGAAACTCCGCGTTGGTTACTTCCTCCTTGGGGCTGGCTTGCTCCTCCTTTTCAATCTGGTTCACAAAGAGAGACATACAAATCCGTGACCCTGGTAAGTGCTCAGTTGTGAATTTGTACATTTGAGGTTATTCTTTTTCTGGGAACTCCTTTAATTTCTCAATTCTGGTAGTATCTGGTCAAAATAATACAATTATTTTTTTCCTGGCCTGATCCTAGAAAAGATATTATTTAAAAGTCCTTCTATTTTTATGTACAATAATTATTGCCTTTCTATTTAATCATTCAGATAATTTTTAAATACAAAAGAAATCAAAGTATCACCCCACTCCTATAAAAACAGCTAGTCATCCAGATGGTGTGGCACAGTGGTTGAGCATTGACCCATGCACCAAGAGGTCGCCGGTTCGATTCCTGGTCAGGGCACATGCCCAGGTTGTGGGCCGAATCCCCGGTGAGGAGCATGCAGGAGGCAGCCAATCAGTGTTCTCTCTCATTGATATTTCTATCTCTCTCTCTCTCTCTCTCCCTTCCTCTCTCTCTAAAATCAATAAAGGAAAAAAAATTTTTGTTTAAATACCAGCTAGTCATACTGTCCATGAACGTAAATACGTGCGTGTACACACATTTACACATAGGGTATATGCATTCACATTATAAAATTGTGACTCTATTGACATGTTCCCATTTTGATGGGGAGTGGACTGTATTCAAGAAAATAACACCCAGGAAAGATATTATGAATATGTGTCTCCAGACAAGAATTGCCTTCAAGCTCATTCTCCGTGTTATAATAACTGCAGCTTATTTAGACAGAACTTTATGTGACCGCCTTTGAAATGAGGCTATGTCAAATAGTTTCAGAACATCATCAAAGTTCCTAGTTTTAAAAAAGATTCAAAGCAGAATACCAAAAATGCATACATTAGAATTGTGCCATACTTTTACACTAAAGACTGAACTTATGGGAATCACAGCTCTTCCTATAACTAGGGGTTCGGGGAAACTAGAAATAAAATTCATATGAACAATAGCATTTTCCAAAACCCCAAATTATATACCAAGCTAACAATGCCAGAGCCCTTCAGACAGGATTGAGGATGGATAAGCAAACAATTTATTGAAATTTGCAGAGTGAATTGTAGCCTGGAAGGTTGGAACACATCCTTTGACATTTAGGGAGGGAATCTTCACATTTTCTGGACTGCATCTATGACCTCCAGACATGAGACCGCCTGCTCATTTTAGAACTCCACATGGATTCTGCTGAATGTAAAGCCCTGGATGAGGACAGCAGCATAGCAGCCCACAGATCCCAGGCATCACCCCGTTCGGGTACCACTGCAATCAGCCGCTGTGGTATTGCAGATAGTATGAGCACCTAATTATCTAACTGGCCTTCACTGGCAATGGCAGCCACATTGATGGCACTGGGGACAGCCGAATTGTGCAGCAACAGCCCCTGAATTCCATTTCAACAAGTGAAAGAAACTTGAGTTGGGGAGTATCTGCCAGTAGTTAGGTTTAAATGGCACAATGTATCCATTAAGTAACCGTTCTGATAACATCCACTTCCCTAGTACTATAAGATGCTGAACTAAGTACTGTACAGTGATAAACAATGAGGTAGAAACTCTCATTTTAGAAATGAAAAAAACATGGTTTTGAGAGAATAAAAGACCTGAAGCCAGAGTGCTTGCTCTTCACACCGCGCCAGACTAGGTGTATTTACATGTCTCACTCAGTAACATCGGCCAAGCCCAGAGTCAGGCCCTGGAGATATGAGTGGAAGACAGATCCCTGCTCCTGACTGACACGCACTCCAGCAAGAGAGAGAAACAGTACGGTGTCTGAAAGGTAGCAGTGAAGATACCAACTGAGCCCAGGGAGGGGGTGGGCATCTGCTCAGCAAGAACTATGAAGGCTCTTCAGTTGAAGAGCTGTGCCAAAGCTCCTAACCACTGACAGTAGTGATGATTCTGCAGACACAGGAGAGAGTGTCTCTGTTTACATGAAATAGTCCCCACATCACCCCATTGACCAACTCCAAATACGAAAATAACAAGTCACTCTGATGTGAAAAATCAAGCCCTGTATAAAACATCCTAATAATCTTGTAGCACATCCTTCAAGGATTAAAGTTATAACAGAGCAGAAGAAGCAAGCCGCTCAAGCCCATGTAGGGTTGGGAAAGGAACCACGAGTCTTGGGCACACATACAGGCGACCATCACATGATGGCTCCTCAGGGCGCTGGTTCCCTTCAAGAAGAGCTTCGTCCTTAATGTGGTTTGAAAATTAATCCATCATGGAAATCCAGTCACTAGAGTTTCAGTAATATTCTCTCATATGTATCAAGGTGACACCATTACCTGGTGATTTGGGGGCAATCACAATAATCATTCTTGTAGTGATTAGAACCTCTTTGATTTTGTTTTAAATCCAATACACATTCGTGTTCATGATAGAGCATGTCAGTCGATGAACCATGAGGAGAGATAAACCATATCTTGAAATGAGAATTTGAAGATAGTACAGCTATAAATCTACAACCCAACCCAAGTACCTTATCTGGTTGGGCTCAGGCTTTTGAACTCTAACCCCTTTTAGTGATCCAGAAAGCCAACTTGTCAAATATTTAATCTTGATAAAATATTTCTCTAAGAAGCAAATGTTCCAACTGAAATATCTGTTTAAACCATATGCAAACCTAAGCATACAGATTAAAAGGTAAAAAAAAAAATTGTCTCTCTATTCATAGGCAACATGATTATCAATGTGAAAAATCCCAGAGTCTACCCCCCAAAAAGGATAGAATAACTAAGCTTAGCAAGGTCACAAGATATATGGTCAATATACAAAAATCAATTGTTTTATATACTAGCAATGGATAATTAAAAATTGAAATTGAAAAATGGACTATTTTAATAGCACCTTTATAGACTACTTAGGTATAAAGCAAACAAAATATGTGCAAGATCTATGCACCGAGAATTTAAAATTTTAAAAAGACCTAAATGAATGGAGAGAGATTCAACACTATTACGGTTCTCCCCAAATTGACTTATAAACTCAACACAATCGCGTTCCAGAAACTACCAGGATATATTGTAGAAATTGACACACTGATACTAAAATTTATATGGAAAAATAAAGGAACTAGAATAGCCAAAAACAATTTCAGAAATGTACAACAATGTCAAGGAATTCATACTAATTGATTTTTAATACTTACTTTAAGGCTACAGTAATTCGGGGTTGTCTTTTTGAAAGGTAAGATATATAAATTAACATAGAAAATAGAAAGGCCAGAAATAAACTCACATGTTCTGGTCAACAGATTTTTAACAAAATGGCAAAAGTAAGTCAACGGGAAACCTTTTCAACAAATGGTGCTGGAACAATTAAAAATAAATGTGCAAAAAACAATGATTGAATCTCAGTTCATATTTCAAACCATTTAGATAAGAATTAACTCAAAATGAATAATTATATAAATGTAAAACCTAAATTTTAAAATTTCTAGAAAATATAAGGAGAAAATCTTTGTGACCTTGCATTAGGCAAAGAATTCTTACATACAATACAAAAAGCATAAACCCAAAAGTCAAAATAAAAAATGATACATTGGACTTTGTCAAAATTTGAAACTAATTCAACACAAGACACTGTTAGGAAAATGAGAAAGCAAGCCACAGAATGGGAGATAATATTTTCAAAACAGATATTTATATCCAGATAAATGTTATATACTCTCAAAATACAATAAGAAAATAACAACCCATTTTTTAAAATGGGCAAAAGATTGAGCACACACTTCACCAATAAGTGTCTTTGGTGGATGATATACAAGCTCATTAAAAGATTCTCAACATCATTAATCATTAGGAAAATGCTAAATTAAAACTACAATAAGATATTATTACATATCTATTAGAGTGGATAAAATTGTAAAAGCTGACAATACCAAGTGTTGACAAGAACGCATGGCATCACACATTGCTAGTCACAGTGCAAAATGATACAATCACTTTGGAAAACAGTTTAGTATTTTCTTATACATTTAAATATACAACTGCCACATGTCTCAGTCATACCAGTCCTAGTTATTTACTCAAGAGAAAAAAAAAACATCTGCTCACATGAATGTTTACAGCCGCTTTATTCATAATCACCAAAAACTGGAAAAACCCTAAATCTCCAACTAGCGAATGAAAAATTGTGATGCATACATACAAAGGAATACTACTCAGCAAAAAATTGAAAAAACTACTTATTCATGTAATAATCTGGTTCAATCTCAAATGCATTATGCTAAGTAAAAGAAGCCAAACTCAAAAGGCTCCATACTGTATGATTCCATTTGTACAACGTTCTGGATGACACAAAACTATAGGGACAGAAAACAGCTCCGTGCTTTTCAGGAGCTTGGGGGTTGACTGCAAAGGCGAACTATGAGAGAAATTTGGGGGGTGATGAAAATATTCTCTATCCTGATTGTGGTGGTGGTTGTGTGCATAGAGCTATTTGCTGAAAAGGTTAAATTTTACTGCATGCAAATTATATCTTAATAAACCTGATATATGTGTTTGTGTGTTAGGAGGGGTGGTGTGTATTACACATACATGTACATGCAACACCCTGGAGGAAACAGGAGTGGAGGAAGGAAGATCACAGGTGTGGTTGACCTGATCAAAAAATATGCTTTGTCCTTCAAGGCTGAGGGGAAGGATTTAGAGATAGATGTATACCCTAATAAACATGGGAGGGCTGGGGGGGTGGGGCAGGCTAGTCTGGAGAGGGACTGCGGCTTATGCATTTGTGGTGGCAGCAACCCTAAGGCTACAAGGCTTTTCCCAGCCTTGCTCAGCATCCATTGGCTCAGCATCTGGGAAACTGCAGCGGTGCAGGTAAGTCATCATCCTGCGTAGGATCAGGGATTTGTGCGATGTAGGGAACAGGAGGATGGGGACAATGGGATTAAGGCTATCAGAGAGAGACTGGTTAACCACGTGGTTGAGGTTAAGGACACGTGACCAGGGAGAAGCTGTCAGACTGGGAGAATACACACAGCTCATAGGACTGGAGGTCTCTCTGGCTAACCCAGGCCTCTGCTTTGTGCTCTGGGGCGCACCATGATGTGTAAAGGCCTGCTCCTGAATGCGAAGGGATGTATGATTGATGGAGAGCAAGATTCAAGGGTTCGGTCACCCAAACTCACAAAAGCTATAATGCAACCTGAGAGGCAAGCGGCGCAAGAGCCCGATTTGAGAGCAGAGTGCTGAGGCCCCTTTTCTAACTCTGCTCTTACCTGGAAAATGATCAGTGAATTTCTGATTTCGTCCAGCGCATGAGACCAACAACAGATTACCAGGGCATAACCGCTGGGGCAAAATGAAGCATAATATACGCTTGGATGCAATTTGTCCACAAACAGGGAGGAAAGAAGTTATTTCCAAGATGACTACAAAGTCAGTGTTGTTGCCTAGGAACTAGAGGGAGGGCTCAGAAAAGGGACTGGAAGTCTAGTTTACCCAATCCCGCATGTAAGAAAGAATGCGCCATGGTTTTCTAGAAGGAGGAAATTCAGAGTGAATGCCTTGGCAGAAGGAAGGCAAGTCATGTCATAGAGAAGGTCTGGGGAAAGTCAGGGTCCACCTGCCTGAAGAGCAGGCAGGCTACCTCCACCCAACAGCCTGCACCTCTGCAGCTGGCCCAGCGGTGCGCACTATCCAACCCCTTGTCGTAATTTGCTCATGGGTCAGCGTGCTTCAGAAGTCAATTCTCCTTTGCCAAGTGTATGTGTTTATATTGCATTAGTCTTTGGCAGTGCTGACAGTTCTAAACCAACTGAAAACAATATACAAATATGAATCTTCTACAGTTACAAGAAAAAGTGAAGTGTTTTTACTCTATTACCAATGTAACCAGCATGTAGTCATTCACTTGGTGTGTCTGTCCTAAACCCTAGAAGCCACGTGCTCCATGCCTAGCCCAGGATGGTGGGTGGTCCATAAAAACCATACCTGGATTGCTTCAATTTCAGGCTCAAAACTAGAGCCTTCTCTGTCTCCTAAAGACTAAATGCTGTGGAGAACCTGAAGCCACTTTAGAACCTGTACCTTCTAACAATCAGTTGTCTAACCTTGACTTTGATGTTATCATCTGCTGAAGTGATACAAGGGAATGGAGGACGGGAGTCAGGCAAGCGGGACCACTGAATGGGGGCTGCAGTCGGAGGCAGCCAAGCTCAGCGTTGTTCCTGGAAGGAACAGCAGTATCACCGAGGAATGGGCCACTGATAAATACCATCTGGGCATCTGGACCAGGGTCATGCGTCATTTCCCTTGCTTGCCCAGAGCCTGGTTCAGGGCTGTATACATAGTCTTGATGAGTAGGCTTGAAAATACATGCAGAAATAAATCAGTCCTCCAGACTTCTGGTGTGCAAGGCTCAATTTGGTACAAAATACGCTCTGAACAAATGAGTCAAAGGAGCACACAGCACTGCCCAAATATGTGTGACTGGCCCCAAATCAGTCCCTCATAGTCACAGTGGTTTTCAGAAAACCACAGATCCCAGCTCTCAAAAGAGGAACATGGAAGCAGCTCAACCCAGGAAATGCTTTCATTTTTAGAACCACAATGTGTTGCCTTCCACATTTCTTTACTACTCATCACAGATCATGTGGATCACTGGTTGTGGAAGACATAGGCCAGTTTCTCAAAGTGTGGTCTGTGTCCCACCTATGTCGTTATGCTGGGGAGGGGAGATGGCTTGTTGACAATGCAGCTCCCCAGACCTCACCAGTGACCCAGGGAATTCGATTCTCTGGGGACATCTGTGACTTGCTCTCCAGTCAACTCTTCTGCATACTGGCTCTGTACACATCAGGTGACATGTACACAGGTACTGTGCTATGCAGGAGCTGGGCGTCCGAGTAGATATGAGAATCCCAAATACCATTAACACCCTCTATTAACTTATAAAACAGGCTCGTTTCCAAATATCAAAAGGACCAAAAGTTGGTCTGCGATGTATGTGGGCAGGAAGTCTATGGGGAATCTCTGTAGCTTCTGCTCAATTTTGCTATCAACCTAAAATTGCTTTAAAAAGTAGAGACTATTAAAAACAACAACAGAAGTTGACCTGCCTGAGGTGTCGTGGATGGAATATGCCTCTGGCTTCTTTTATCTACACGGATCCCCCACCTCTTACGCTCTACTCCTCCCAGCCTAACCACCTCTGGGCGGCCTTGGTGTAGCACAGCCCTGCTCCAGGCTCCCACAGCCCCGTGTGCACACTGACTGTGACAATATTAGGACCTTTACCCCTACACTGTGACCAGCCATTCTCCTGTCTGGTCCCAGTGAATCACAAGAAAAAGCCTGGCTTGGTCAGGGCTTCGCTCCTTCCCGCGGCATGGCGTCTGGCACTCGGCAGGTGTGGAGTCAGGTGTGTTAGATGACCGCGTGAGTGAGTGAGATGGACACGAGATGAAGTGTGTTGGGAGGATGGATGGACAAAATGGCTACACCTCTGCTCTTGCACATACAGAGACATCCTTCCTGTCTCGGAAGCCCAGGAATCAAGATCCTCATGTATGTCATCTGTCATTGCGGTCAGTACTCTGAACTGACATATTGATCACTTCCAGTCCTACGAGACAGAGGAGACCAGGGAAACTGGCATCGGAGGTGTTGTGCCAATGTCATGTGTGAGGGAAGTAGAAGCCACACGAGGTATTTCAGACAGAGGGGATGTAATGCAGGGATCTGATGACTCGGGTTTGGCAAGGCTGAAAGAGGCCCTTGAGATAACCCGGGTGTTAGTAAACACAGGAAGCAGCTACTAACCTTAGCGCTGGGGGAACAAAAGGGAAGAGATGGTGTTACCAGAACCTAGAAGCTTTGATGGGGGACCCCCCACGGCTGGAGCCTGGCCCTCTGTGGGGGCTGCTGCGCGGCTGCTGCTTGGACTTCTGAGGGGGGCGCTGCTTGGCTGGTGGTGGTCGGACCTCTGGGCGGGGTCGTGGCTGCCGCTCAGACCTCGGAGGGGACCGTGGCTCAGTCCTCGGAGGGGACCGTGGCTTGGCTGGTGCTCTGACCACCGCGGGGGGCGCCGCTGGCTGGTGCTTGGGCCTCTGGGGGGACGTTGGACGGCGCCTGGTTCTGAGAGGGCCAAAAGAAGCTGGAGGCTGGAGCCATGGCTCTGCCGCGTCAGGGATGCTGACAGCTGGGACCAGCAGGCAGGCCCTGCGCCCCCTCCCACCTTCCAGGCTCCCTCCTGCACCTTCCAACGGCAGAACGTAACGGGGAGCCCACTGTCAGGCCACGGGGAAGAGCAGCGTGCAGAGCCCCAGCCCGCACCGCAGAGCAGAGCAGACAGTGGGGGCCGGGCTCGCAGACGAGCGACGACTGGCCAACGCCAGCCCAGGGGCTCAGTGGGCAGTGCCGGACCCTTACCTGGTCTTTTGGCAGGCACAGCAGATCCAGTCCTCCTCTTTCTTCTGGTAGAAGCAGCCGCTCCTGCAGAGACTGTATTTCCGATCCACGATCTCCCGCTTGGAGTTGAGGAAGGTGAATGGTGGGCAGCAGTGTATGCTGAAGTGCTCGGAGAACTTCTGGTTCTTGGAGAGTCTGGGACCCTCCTTCGTGGTTTTCTGACTCATCTCACTGGAAGCCATCCGTGTGGGAGCAGGCGGGGGACAAGACAGCACAGGGGTGAGAGAGCTTCCTAAAGGGAATCCCCCTGGGCTGGCCCAGGTTGGCTCCCACACAACTCCTGCCCATCACGTTCCTGCCCAGCTCCGTGGGAAACAGCTGAATTAGGGGTTGGTTCATTTTTGTGTATTTTATAAATGTTTTCTGGACATGGACCCTTTTTCCCTTGTGTTTAGTAGTCCATTTGAGATAGAAAAAAAATATTACGAAGCCAAACATTATGAGCCTCTAGTCCTGATGGAAGGTGGTTGCTTTATATACTTCGCCTCATTTGTATAACATATCCACAAACTAAAGATGAGAGAAGCTAAGAAACGTGACAAAGTTCATAAAGCCCGCAAGAGGCAGACAGGGGATTTGAATCCATGTCTTTGGGACTCCAAAATCCTGTGCCTTTGACCAGGCCCAGCACTCTGTGCCCCTGTGCTCCGCCTCCTCTCCCAGGGCCCGGGCTGGACTCTGAGGGACTGGAGATGGGCCCAGGGAAGGGGTAAGTCTGCAGAGCTGCATGGGTCTGTGTCCTGGGGTGAAAAAGTCCGAAAGCTAGGGACAGCGCTCACTGAGGGAGGAACGCTAGAGAATGGTGTTCGGAGACGTCACACAGCATGGTGTCAAGGGCTTCGGAGCAAGTAAGAAAGTACACAGTGGGGAACTAGAATGTAAAGTCAGAGAGGGTCCTGAAGGGAATGCAACAGACAGGCCCTCTGTTCCTCCCCCACCTGCTCTTCGTAGGTTTTTAAATCTACACTCGCTGTTGAAAATAAAAAATTTTGGACCAATGGAGATAATGAAAATTTCTAAATTCTTATCCCAAACTTAGCCACTTGCACATTTTTTCGAATATTTACATGTGAATATATCCGTAATAAAAATTAGGACCATACTTTATGAACTTTTTAAATTTTTATACTTAAAGTTTTGTAGATACAGGCATGATGTTATTTTTACTATTCTCGTATAACTTTGTAAATCTGTAATAAATTTATAGTTACAGCCCCCTTTATAGTTTATATATTTACATCTTTGCTCATTTTTCTTAATTAATCTTGCCAGAAGTCACCTACTTTATATTCTTTTTTTAAAATATGTTTTTATTGGTTTTTTGGGGAGAGAGAGAAACATGGATATGAAAGCAAAACATCGATCGGCTGTCTCCTGTGCACCCCTTACTGGGATCAAGCCCGAAACCTGGGCATGTGCCCTGACCAGGAATTAACCAGGACCTCTCAGTCCCTGGGAGGATGCTCAGTCCCCTGAGCCACACTGGCCAGGCTACTCTATATTCTTTTTGAAAACAAGCTCTTGGATTCCTTGCTTCTCTTTGCTCATTTTTTTCTAGTTCATTAATTTCTATGTGCATCTATTATTTCTTTTCTTCAGTTTTTTTTTAATGTTTATGTTCTTGTTCTATTTCTCTATTCTTTTTTTTTTTTTTTTTTATCTTCACTCAAAGACATTTTTTGCATTTATCCTCAGATAGAGCAGGAGGGAGAGAGGGAGGAAGAGAGAGAGAGAAACATCAATGTGAGAGAGACACACCGGAGTGGTCGCCACCCACATGACCCCAACCAAGGCCGGGGACAAACCGCAACCGAGGTACTTGCCCAGGACTCTCCGGTCCACAGGCCGACGCTCTAACCGCTGAGCCAAACCGGCCAGGGCTATTCCTCTATTCTTGAGTCAAATGCTTCTCACAGGTGCATTAAGTACCACTTTAGCTGCACACCACAAGTATTAACATAAATCATTTTCACTTCATTTTAAATATGGATGAGTTCCTCCCTGATTCATCAATTCTTTTTAAAAATCTGTTGTAAAATTTCCAAGAGTATGGAGTTATTTTGGTTACGTTGACTTTTCATTCTGAAGCACGCTCGTCAGAGAAAGTGGCGTGTATGAACCTCTGAGTTGATACTGCCTTGATCGTTTCTGGAGGAAACTCTCTCTTCCTAAGAAATAAAGTTCACTTCTCGAACAGGACTCTTCTCTCTCTCTTTCGACTCCTTCTCTAAGTGGACAAGAGGAGCGGAGGAACCTAAAGGCCTCCAGGCAAGGAGGGACGGTGTGGATGGTCTGGGTGGTGTCCCCTTCTGCTGGACTCTGCCACAGAGTACCGTGCGTGGTCTCCCCTGGTCCCCTGGCATGAATGACACGTTGCTGCTGACCACTTGACCCCACCAAAGCCACTGGTCCCTGCCGAGCGGCCTCCTCTCCAGCTGTCCTCTCAGCCCCTCCACATCCCCTCCAGGCAACTTCCGGTTCCCATGCCCGCCAAGCACGCTCCACGTGGCAAATCAAGAGCCCTTCCTTGGGGCCCTTCCTTGGGGCCCTTCCTTGGGGCCCTTCCTTGGGGCCCTTGGCCTAAACAGCTCCCCGACCAGAGCTGTGCGCTCACTCGTGGCCACATTGGATGAGGGCAGCCCTCCCCCAGGGCCTGCAGTCTGTCCCCACTATTCCTGTTGAAGTGTGTCAGTCGGAACCACCACCACACATACACTTTCAAACCTGTCTGGACGTTTCTACACCATACCACATCCCCGCCATGATTTTGAGGTTTTAGCTGAAGAAAAGAGTGAACATGGATGTCCGCCTCCTTCAATTTCCGCCCCCCCCCCCCACCTCCAGCACCCTCCCCCTTGAATGTGCTCCATGATACACAGACTTCTTCCAGAAACTCCCCAAGTGGAGAAGGCTTGAGCCAAGGACATGCTCCTTCCCAGCCTGGTGTTCCTTTCCCCAGCTCCTTCTACACGACTCCAATTTCTTATTAAAACCCACACTGCCACCCTCTGCCTCGAAATGATAAGGAATAATTGTAAGGAAAAGATGGAAATAACCAGAAATTGTCATTTTCATAAGACAAGATGGTCTTGAGAACAAGATGACATATCTAGCATTTAAAACCCTATTATTTCAAACCATGAAGAATTAACTTCAAGTGCTTAAAACACTTATAAATTTTTAATGAATTTCTGTTAGAGCTTGCCTCCATTTCACAATTTAATATTTATTCTCTGAAAATCAAAACCCTTGAGAGCAATAACATCTGTTAACCTTTTATTCTATGAGAGGAGACAGAAATAAAATATAGTTCCAGTAATAATGCATGAATATGGATGAAATAGTAAATGGAATTTTACTTACTGGTAGGGAGAGAGGGGCAGGTAGGGTAAGTGACAGGAAAATCCTAAAATTAATTTTGCATATTACCCCAAATCAGGGGATGGTCTTTCAAGAAATTGCCAGAACAGAAGCGAGGCATTTATAATTCTATACATTTCTTCAAACCAGACTTGCTGGTTAAAGGCTTTGATTTTATTTAATTATTAATATTCTTATACTTAAGGAATCATGGAAATACTAGGTAGCAATTTGAAGAACAATTAAATATTAGGCAGCCATTTTAAAAGGTGCTTATGAAGAGACTGTACTGATATAAGAAAATATTTCTGTAACATCAAGCGAAGGCAGCAGGAAGCCAGACTTTCTTGTACGGCAGCAGCTCCAGGTGGCCAGCCAGCCCAGCTGAAGCCAGTGGAGGGTCAGAGGGGCAGGCCACAGCACGAGGGCCCACAGCTTCCTGGGGCCCCGCAGGTACCGCCGATGGCAGCCTCTCAGCAGGGAGGCTGGGGGAGGCCGGGGTGACCTCAGCAGGAGGGAGACACACACTCAAGCCCCTGCCTTGAATGGATGAGATACTGATACCCTGGAGACTTTGAGCAACCTTAGGGCTAATTTTCAAGCTGGCAAGGACTCTCTGAACTGCTGGTGGCTCTGTTAAGACAGCTTATGACCACAGGGGACCCTACTGACAAAGGAGGCCAGGTGACATGTGCAAAAAATATACACAGAAAAAGATGGAAGGTAAATCCAGCCAGTACAATAGTAACACTAGGCCATTCATTCACATGCTTAGTGAGTGCCTACTAAGTGCCAGTGGTGAACAAGACAAAGAAGGTGCCTGTACTCAGAGCTTAGGGTACAGTGAAGGGGACTTCGGCAGATCATACTGGGAACAACGTAGTCAATGTCTAATTGAAGTGTGATCAGATTCCTGGGTGCTAGGAGTGAGTGTAACAGTGAAATAACTTTAGATTGAGGGGCTAGAGAAGGGTGCCTGAAGAAGAGACATTCCATCTGCGATCTGAAGGATACGTGGGAGCCATGCATGTGTAGGGGGGGAGAGCATTCCAGACACAAGGCCCTGAGACTGGATGTGCTCGAGAAACCACGGAAGGGGATGTGGCTGGATCTCATGAGGCTGGAGAGTGAGATGTGGGCAAGACAGCCCAGGGCCTTGAAGATGAGCGAAGAAATAGGGAGAATTGGAAGGCACAGAGAGAGCGTGACTAGAGGAGGTGACTTCCTAGTCATGTTCCATGAAGATCACTCAGGATTCTAGCAGTGGAGCTTGGAAGGAAGCAGAAATGGAAGCCAGGAGACCAGTGACAGGGGACAGGGCTCCTCTTAGGGCAATGGCACTGAAGGTGGATCAGGAGGCAACAGTGATAAGACTTGAGGATGGCTTGGATGTGGGGTTCGTGGGAAAGGACAGGGCAAGGATGCCTCCATGTTTAGGGCCTGAGCAAATGCCCCACAGAGCAGTTTACTGAGTCGGGGAAGGGAGAAAGGGGATAGTTGGACATTCATTCATTCAACAAATACTAATTAAACACCCACTTTGTGCCAAATATGTTAACTCTGAGATGCTTATGAGGATCTAGTGCTGATGATGCCACACAACAGACCGATCTGTAGTAGAAGCATTGGCCTCAGCCTCAGAATTGCTCAGACCACAGTATAACATGAGCAAGAAGCAAGGCAGGAAGACCACTAACAACCAGGGCATGCTGATGGATAGTGCAGGCAGGAAAGAAGAACAAACAGGATTTCTGCAAGGGAAATTAGATTAGAAGCTGAATCGTTTTAGGATGAAAACAGGTTTGAGGATG